TATACATCGATAAGTTAAAATTGATATCGGCGAAATAAACCTTTTCGAATACGGTACGTTTTTGTGTCCGTGTGTGCGGCTCTGAACTTATCGCTGTCGATCCCTAAACCATTCTACGTTCTTTGGCACTCTCATTACCTCGTGATCGTCTTGTAAACGAGGCCTAATGGGGTTGTGCATGGCAACGGATGCCAAAACAGCGTGCGCCAGCACGGAAACAGCCAGAAAAAATCTATTAACGCTAGTAGATTTTTCGTTGTAGCAAACACAACTCCAGTGAATTTATTGTTATTATTGCTGGCTTGTCTCCACTGATAAAGTCTACATGAAGAAGAAAACAATACACAGATTTTACCGGCTTCATCGCTTGAGAAGATCTACGCGTCCAATTTGCGAGTCTAAGAGGACTGCGTAATTGTTGTGAAGTTTCCGCCATGTTCCGCTCAATGCGGCAAGTGAACAATGTTGAAATTAACGGTAGCAGCTTGGAACGATTATCAAGGGGATGCCGATAAACTGATATGATTAGGGTACTAGTTCGCAGTGATTTTTGACGACGACGACGACGACAGAGATGCGGCGTAACTTCATTGTCGCCGTTGCAATCAACGATCAACTAATCAATTTTTGATGAGATTAATTGTGCAGAGTCCTGAGATACTAAACTAAATAAAAACTAGTGTAGTTTTTTATTTTTTTTTAATTTATTTTTTTTATATTTATTAATTTACTAAACTATAGAGAAAAAAAAATCACGGAAACAGCGTATGTATAGCCATAATGAAATAACATAAAATCTTCATTATTGCAAAGTTTTGGCATATTTGAACGACATGCTGTCCGATGTATAGCACTGCGTCGACTCAGATCATGCCGAACGCGAATCACCCACAGGTACAAACCTGAACATTAGTACACTTCGTATCATCGTGCCGGAGCGTTCCATGCTTCAATAGAGGCTTTCCCAGGACATCTTCTTTTTCTTCTTCTTCTTCTTGCTTCTAGCATTTTTTATATAGTTATTCGGAATATCGACTGGACAATTTAACCAGCAAAGACTAGAGGAGTACAACAAACAGCCTTTTAGAATTACAACCATACGTATGCAACATGTGTACAAAGTTTCTCTATAGCCGTTGAATCGACGCACCTGTACATATACGAATTTACGTGATCGATTTACGATTACGAATGTCATCAAATTTACATATTTTTACATATGTGAAGATACCTCATGAATATAATACGCGTATCTAGATGGCACGCCCCATTTGAACAAATGTTAAGTTAACAAGAGATTGACACACTCTCCGTGTGTCATTTCTTCAAATAATATTTGATAACTACAAACCCATTAAAATAGGAATTAATGGGTTTCAATTTCTCAACTGGGTTTTTCCTTAGAAAACAGATGCTGGTGTAACATCTACATCTAAGGTTTTCCACCCAAATGCTTTCATTAACTAGAACTTGAAGCCATGTTCTTTTACTGCATACAATTTTTTGTCTTCCAGTTTCGCGTAAAACCTAGCAACGATTCCCACTTGCTTGGTTGAATGAATGATTATCACTATCATATTATTGGCCAGCAAATTTCACTTATATACTTATTTATGTAATTCTATGAATGCTTATCGGGATACGTCGATTTTTTTATTATAAAAATCATAGATTTCCAGCTTTTTCGCTGTAATTTCGCACCAGCGCCATGGCAGAGGAGACGCTAATGCTATTTCTTTCTATCTATTAGATTATTCTATTATAGGAAAACGAATCAGTACTTCTTTGGGCGCCGAGATAATTGCTTATGGCAAGCATACGTAAGTATTTTAGCGGCGTACTTGAAAATCTATTGCTATAGTTGAAACTTATCGAAACCGTTCGATGGAGTTAAGGCAATACGAATTAGGGATGAAGAGATTGATCAGTGAAAATAAGGCTTCTGTGATGGTTTCAGGCTATATCATTTTTAGACAACAGCGCGAAGCGATGACATTACGTTTTCATTTCGAGTAGAAATCGAAGCTGCCCAACAGAGATTACACCTCCATTTCAAATTACGCGCCCATTTCACGCCATGTTAAATTGTACCGAACGTATGCTAAAGACGTACGTCATCCTTGAGATGAATAACACAAAAGGGGCGCATCAGCTTTTTTTACTGCAGAAACAGAAAATCGTACAGGGACACAGTTCGTTCGTCGTCTAACTTAGCTACTAGTTGGTTCAATGTTTATCGCAAGATCCCTTAATGATTTTATTTCAGTGGCTGATTTGTACGCTTCGAACAGATGCCCAGATGGCCACAGGAGGTCTCTCGACGTGGTTCTGGCCACAGGTCGAAGTAGGGACAAACCGAGCATGTTTCAACCACTGTCGTAAATCAATCGTCTGTTGTGTTGAATATCACCATCGCGGAATCTATTAAGAGCAATAGGATACTGGCTGATGGGTGTCACTTCTCATAACGGGCATTTTTAGTGTTAACGCATGGCAACAGGACTACCGCAGGAACGCGTTAGGTCATTCTGTATAAACAATGACAAGCAAACTCGAGTCGGAGCATATTGAAACGGTGATATATATTCAATCCTTATCAGAAACAAAAGATGAATAAAGACGAAGACTTGCGTGGTTTTAGGACGTAATTAAACCATCAATTGTAAGACGTTGATACTTATTTGCTATAATTACATAAAATAGTTGCAAAACGCAGTACATAACGAAGGAAAAAACCGTGTAGAAGAGTTACCTTGCGAAGTCAAAGATATCGCCTACTTCGTTCATCAATCGTCGATGACCGGTATTGGGACAGTTTTATTCAGTTGCACGTAAACATCTGAGAGGCTACGAGACTGAGCGCGTGCACGTTACGCCTCCGCACGTTACGCCTCCGCACGTTACGGTCAAACACATTCCAGAACAGCAAACTATGGGCTCTTCGAAACCGAGGGTCCGCCAAAGTATAGAGGATTATAAAAATGTCAATTTATTTCGTCGAGAAAACGGCTTTTCGATGCCGTTTTTACTGCCAATAGATATACGGTGACCTTCTACAGCTACATAATAAAACGTAGAAAAATCAGAAAAAGTTAACCCGCACTTTACCCATGAGAGCTTATTTCTAAGGGGTATGCTATATGGCGTCGAATTCTACAGTAATAGTACTTCAAATAATATAAAAATCTGGCCTCATGTCACACGCATGCACTTCGGAAAAATAGAGTTAAACATTCTCGTATTTTATTTTTTATTTATCCCGTGAATTATTTTAGCTGCAGCCAAAAAACTACACAATAAGCACAGTATATTCCTTAATTTTCTGTATATCAATGTTTGATACTCTTCAACAAGTATATATATATATATATATATATATATACGAATGTATATATCGAGATTGAGTGACTATTTCCACTGAAATTACGTGTAAAAACAACCACACGCTTCTGTATTACCTACAAAGAGTTTCATTAATCAATGGGGAAAAAAATTTTTTCTTCACACATGATCCATACTATTCATAGGGATGGTATCTAGTACTGCCCCGTTCTCGATCTAAGCTAAAGCGAATTCAGATCTACTTTTAGACAAAGTCGAGTTGCAGAGCGGATCCGAAGCCCTAGTATTTAATATTTAAACCGGTCATAAAGTCCTGTTCAAAAAATCCAGGTGTTTCAACGAGTCCTTTTCGTTAATTTCCTAGCACTTTGAATCTAAACCTTATTGAAAAGCTTTTGGTTTTCTCCATGAATATATTTCTTGGGTTTCTTAGAACTTGTATTAAAACTGGCTTTGTCGTAGATTGACGCTCTTGGGCAAAAAAGGAAATTTTTAGTTTCACCAACTCTTCGTCTAGCGCGAAAAGATTGGACGATAGACTATTTGCGTTTAATTCCAGAAGCGCCGCCCGGTTTTGGAAACAATTAGTTTTTTATTCCAGAAATAACTGGTCTTCGTATGATAACAAAAGTCGCAAATGAACGGATGTCCCTACAACAAATCATCCGCCAAAATTTTCCGGGTTCAAACATCCTACCCTATTACTTCGCTGTTAAGTTCTAACTTCATGTCGCAGCGCTTTCTACGTACAACGATTAAGCAATCTAAATGTCGATGTCTTCGTAATGTTAACTTACATCGTTTCCGAAGATAGAATTAGTTTTACCTGGAGAACGCAAAATAATCTTAAGGGAGCAAAAGATCAATAGCAACACAGTAATAGCTTCGCAGTCGTTGAGCAGCTTGGGATAGATGGCACGTGAAATAGGGGAAATCCATCACAAAAACCCGGGACCAGTGCGATGTTACAACGGCGGAATACGATAGAAAATTAAAGCAAGCTAACGAAATTATTGCCACAACGTAGAAGTTATAACGTAATGAAAACAAATTATTGTGACGGAGCACAATGGAATAATTTAACGTGGTTCAGGTTTAAAATTCGGACCTTACAATTGATAAGCTGCAAACTCGAGTAGGCTGGATGAAAATAAGCAATGGGAAAATGCCGGAGAGTGTTCGCTGTTGGAGAACAAACAACTCATTTTCAGTGAGCTTGGCTTTTCAGAAACAAGAGATAGCAGATACGATTTATATATATATATATATATATATATATATTTCAATTCGTTACCACGCAACCCCTCGGTCTCGATTTTATTAGTATAAGTTATTGCGACAACTACACGTGTAGTACTTGCCCTAGAAGAATACCTCGTTTTAGTGCATTTTTTTTTTTTAACAAAAAAGTAATTTTTCTGTTTCCTTTTTTACTTTGCGTTTTACTCTAGTTAGCCGGGGGTTCTAGAATGACTACGCTCCAACGTAGAATTGCCAACGCCAATTCTACTCATCAAAGGTAGAATTCTGCCCATTAAAGACTAAATTCCGATACTGGACGTTGGAATTTTGATTTCTGGAGCACTAGGCCTGTTTAGCAGGCCGCTGTATAGCTAGCTACACGCTATCATTTATCGCTATTGTCTGCTCATTTTTAGAAACCGCTGCGGTCGCTTTCAGCGATCAGACGAACACCTCTGCCAAGACGCCGTTTACGGAACAGACACCAAATATGAACGAACAGCTTGAGGGGCCTCAAGTGATCAGCGGGTAATTTAAAAATTCATAGTTCTGGTCAAATATTCGATTTAATTTATGTGTTAATATATCTATGTTGAAATAAATAGCAAAATGTAGAAATAAATATTTAAATACATACCGTGGTTGCTTGGATCGTGGTTAACACATAGGTTATGCCTATACTTAAAACAACTTCTGTTCTTTTGCGCTCTCGTTGTTGTCGCTAAATTGTGAGATTCATTGTAATTTTGTAAATTGTTGAAAGAAAAAGAAAATAATTGCTAAATTTCAATTAAAAAGGTCGAGATTAAGCTATTATGTACAAGTAACGCTAAAAGACGAATTCCGGTTAGACGTTACTGGCCTCTGGTTTGTTATCAGCTATCTCCCGATGTAGATTCGCGATTTTAGGTAGCAGTTCCTCATTTACTCTACATTCTGCGTATTTTGCATTCATTCAAGCATTTCTGCTTGATTAACTTTTCTTGCTTCAGACCACAGCCGGACGCACTGCAGGAATCTTCTTCAAAGAATCGATTCCAGCCGGAATACGACAATACTAAGGATCGCGACCAACACAAAATGGAGAAACCCCAAATCATTTATATTAAGAACTCAGGTACAATATATACAAATAAACACAATATAACTAAATATAATTGAATTAAAAAAAGAAATTCACACTGACTCTTCTCGGAAATTATACTTTTCACATCTCACGTATGTCAGCTATGGGCTCGGAGCCGTCGTTGATATGTTGTCGTCTTCAGAGGGAGTGCCACACTGTCGTAATATCGCAGTACTCCCTCCGGAAAAGCGATCAGATTTGAGACCATGACAAATAGAGGACAGAGTCTTTCTACATACAAAGAACAGAAACGGTTGCTAGAAGCAAACCTTAGTGTCAGGTCTTTCAATAGGCTTTACACAAGTTTCCTGCTAAACCTTGGTACAAATCTTATCATGATCTTCTAGATCCGAAGGAGCCCAATGGACGACCTCAGCTCCCGCACGTCGACGCCGTTCGAAGAAGATACCGTTTTGAAGACATTCCTGATTGTGCGTAGTAGAATCGATAAAAGAAAGCTATTATGCAACGATACCTTATAGCTTTAAATTGATATCTATGTCAAAATATGAAACAAAATACTACAGCTCAACCCTTTATCTATGCGCTTCTTTTTTAAGCCTCTTTTCTTCTGATCATCCACAAACACAAGGAAATGTTCAACGAACATGGCTGTGCAACTTTATGTGTATATATGTACAATATGGTATCTTTCAACGGCGTACATTTTTGCCAATGCTTCGTTGTAATTTACCAAATCCGATTTACAGTCCGACAAGGCCAGTGGTGGAATGAACGTCCTCAGATCTCTCAGGAGTATGAAAAAGGTAGTGGGCTTAACGGTCAGCGAGAATTAGATGGTTCCAATGAACCGCCTAAATCTGTAAACGACGACCTGAGCATAATTTCAAGCCTGCGTCGGCGGAAGCCATCCTCAGCTAATTTTCAGCATCATGTAACTGGGGGTACTCCTGCACCGAAGTCGTCATCGCAACAGACTATAATCCCTAAACCTGATCCTGGAACCACCTCAGCAAAGGTCAGTTACAGTATCGAAGTGAGGTGGCTGCCACCGCTAGAGCGCTCCGTGGTACCAAACACCAGTGCACATGTGCAGCATTTACCTGCTGTTACCGAAAAATATTCATTGGATAGGGTAATTTAATTAATAAGATAAGATGCCCTTTGCAATTTAATCTAGAGTCAATTCCGATCTTCTTGCCTGAATCAGACTTTCAAACCGGAATATGATTCCGTTATTTTTGCAACATTCAAAGTCTCGCCTTGGAACGTCGGACTACTTACAATTATGGAAAAGCACCACACAGGTGCCACCTAAAAAAAAAACTGAAAACTATTTTTGTTCGAAATAGAGCTTTCTATCTAACGCAGGGAACTCGACAAGATAAGTTTAACTTCTACACCCCAAATTTCAAGCGTTCAGCCGTTCTCCTAATCATTAATTGAACGTGTCACCAACAGTTCTTATTTCACATGAGACCCTTGTAGATTTAAAGATATATCCTCGTAAAATGTTTTCAGGACTATGTTTTATTAAATTATAATTTGGCCTTGTTATTGTAATTTAATACATGGTTATGAAACCCAATTCATCATGCTCGTTAGACGTATGATAGCAATGCTAACAATGTTTATACTGTGTATAACGTAAACACGATTCGTCGTTCTTAAGCCAAAGAAAAATTATTTCGACGACGATAGACGCAGCACATCAGAGCCCTGACATTGTGATCTACTTGTAAAGCTATAATCCGTGCTCTCGAAGTCACATTGAGAAAAGTCAATATTTATATGGACATCAGACTGGCACTCTTAGACAGGTAAGACTATAATGACCAGTTAATGATAATTGCTTCTGATGCAGTTGCCAATTCCACCGTGGAAAAGGAGGAATCCATCTGGAACAAGAAACGTAACATCTGCAAATGTTCCACCGAGATCCCAAACCCTTCAGGTCCCTTTTGTCGTCCCACCAAGTAAGTAAACTGTTATTATAAGTTATATGACGTTCCAGCACGACAGACGTTAAATGAACAATAATTCTGATTTTTGCTGGCCCGCGTATGCTGATAGTTTTTTTTTTATCGGCCATAATACAAGCGTAACACACCGTTAGCTCATAGAGGTGACTGAAAAACCAAGAAGTCCACGTTTCTCTGGAACAATTTACAACAAGATTTAATTCAAGTTCACGCTAGCTCTTACATTACGTATGTTTCGGGATTGTTACCGCCCAGAGATTAGTGTTTTCTCTCACTAACGTACGCTTTTTATAAATATTGTTACGCTGATAGTAAATAAATGTGGTAGAAATTGAAATTTTTTTTAAGGAAATGAGGTTCTTTATACAATTATTGTTTACGTCCTCCATATCCATTTAAAAGGTGACAGAATCATAATCATAATGACAATCCTAACATATTTGTTTGAATTATTCTTGAATACTATGATTACCAAAAATATACAATTTCAGATTGTTTATACGCTGGTCAGAAGTTTGATCACGGATCATTTGTGACTACACCCGAACCTTGTTTAAACTGTACCTGCAGAGCTGGAGTTCTGGTTTGCTTCCTTCGGGTAAGGCAGAGCCTCGCAAATCTCTAAGCGATGTAGTAGCATAGAGGAATAAGTTCAATAAACTAACACGCTCCGTGGAAGTCAAGAAATATGAAAATAATCAAAGCAACACTAAGTTAACCCAAGTTTTATTTTCTGCCTCCAGAGCTAAAGCAAGTTTGAACAGCACTCTAATAGCTTACAGCAGACATAATGAGATATCAATTTCTAAAAATTTCAACAGGTGTGTCCTGCAGTAACGATGGTTCCTGAAGGATGCTTCTCGGCTCGTGAGGCCCATCAATGTTGTCCTACAGTTCTCTGTAACAAAGGTAAATTCTTCGCGAGATAATAGCGATCCTTCACTAGCAGATATTTTCCTAGGTTTTTAAAAACGTTGTCATAGAAAAAAAAAAAAAAGAAAAAAAAGGGAAGGAAAAACTTCTTTTGTCTAGATATAAACATTTCTTCTTTATACATTTTCGCAGATAATGAAAATACTGCCTCAGACGATGACCAATCGACAAATAGGAGCAAGGACGACGATTATGGTGATGATGAAGGCACTACTAATAATTCTTCATCGGAGGATATTGATGAGTCACGCAATGCCATTGGTCATAGTGGCGAACAAACGCCATTCACGGCTACCCCGCAAAAGTCGTCGGTGTCACTACCCGCGACAATTCAACTCTTCTATGACGCACAAGAACCAGCTTCCACTGGAATGAATACAACAATCTCCAGGTACGTTGTCGTGTACTTTTATTCAGCACATCTTGATCTTAGCAAGTAACGTTAAATACCGGCCAGCTAATCTTACACACTCAAACTGTCCAGGTACTTTAACTCGATAATAATAATAATAACAATAATACTGTCTTCGAGGCTCCAATCACAGTGTCCCCATACGCTCGATAAGATCTCGTCAATTTCTAAGAGGTAACTTTGAAGATTACCATGTCCGATAAGCGACAGTATTATGAAGTTAATCAAATTCGCTTCCCGGCCGTTAAATTCACTTCCAAATGTTTAGGGTTCTTAGAGTAGCGTCCGAAATCTCTGAAGGTACGGCCTTCTATTCTGCAACCAGAGCTCTCAAGGTTTCTTCTTGTACAGTTGGTTTAATTGAAAGCACACGGCGTTAATAGCTGAAGAACCATCACCAGTATTAGGAGCACCGTATGCGACTTTGGGCATTGCTTATTGTCACATAGTTTGGATGGTACTAGCTACACATAGAACGTACTCATCATGAAGATCCTGCAGGTTTTAAACGTAAGCAATTCCCAGGAACTTTAAATCTGTTCTTATTTCCAACTGTACTTCATGCCGGAGCCCTAAAAACGGCTAATCAACTGAACTACCGACACAAGAAGTCTATTTCTTCCGAATCTAAAATTGCTGATGTTAGGCATGGTCTTACACTGTTGCGGGGCCGCCGTATAGTGTTCTCTCAACCCGCTTGGTCAATATGCACACGCGGGTACCAGCTATTCTAACAAGACAAAGATAATTTCCCTAGGAAGCTAAATTTCCGCTTTAAGGTAGAATTTTTCTGTCTACGTCGCTACCGTAGACAACCTCTTGTAGACACGTTCCGTTAGGTTTCCCGGTTGTCACATCTTATTGGCAAATTTTTCTTAGGCAGAAAGATCTACCCTGTGGAGAGAATATCTTAGTCGCTAAACGTCAAACTATACGTCACGCATATAGTTTCGTTTGTTACTTTGTAAAATGCTTAAAAATGCAAGTTACGAGTATAAATTTTGGACTTGCGAAAAGTGTGGTAAAACTGAAGGTCCAGATGCGTTGTTGTGAGCGCGTTGCATACAGAGCGCCCTCCTTTCCAGCTCTACGAGCATGATAAACGAAAAGTAAATTTTTCGAGCTTTACGTCCAGTATTTCACTCGTTAACCATTATTTAGACAGCTGGTTCTGAATAAAATGTGTCTCGAATCTACGCTACCATATGTTCCCAGCTCTCAGCTGACAAACAAATTACCACTGACAGAACATACAAAGATATTGAAAAACCTTATGATACGTCATTCTGCGAGTCAAACTGGCTTCTGTGCTTTTAAAATTCCCAGTTGATTGCTTTAACAATAAACAGTGTGTTATCGCCAAGGACGGCGAACCCGTCCAATATTTTCAGGACCCCTGTAGATTTTTCCCATAGTGGCCCAGATGATTGGCCCAGAAAAACCGGCTTATTATTATGTTACTAGGATTAGATTCACCTACGATTTACTACCTGGCAAGCAAACATTAGTATCGCACCTGATACGTTGCATTTTGCTTGCAATGTTCATAGCAAAAAAAGTTCAGGGTAAAAAAAATGTTCTCGTGACTGAATTAACCTTACGAAGTTTGTGATAGAAAAAATAAGAGGGTCTTCAAAATCCATCGAATTCCATATATTTATGGCTAGCCATTAGGACAATGAACAAACAATGAAACATTTGTGTCCTGCTTATTAGATAAAGTTTGCGCGCGGCAAAGGAGAACAATGATCTTTGCCTGCTACTTGCGAAATCATCATAAACGTGAATGAGACCTGTACCTAAAAGCCTTTTCTTCTTAATCTAACGTTCGTTTAAAGCGGCTTTCACACCTATCAAAATCCAATTTTTCATTATTTGCAAATAAAGAAATTTGTGATAATTTCTCGCACGCATGACAATTCTGAAAGGAGTGCTTCGATATTACCCTTTATCATATTCAACCCTCTCTTTTATGACCCTTCCCCACCCAAGATCAATTTTATTAAGCTCTTGGCAAGAAAAACGGATGGATTTTCAATGAAATTTTATGCACAATATATTTATAACTAGCCATTAGGGTATGTTTAGACGACTGATACACGGCAGTCTACATCGAATCTACGATGTTGTTCCGCTTGGCGCCAACAGTTAATTTGAATACTCCTAGCCTTCTCCGCCACTGTCGTCGTTGTTGTTATTATTATGATTGCGAACCCCTCGCTCGGTGCGGATGACTTTCCAGCCAGTCGTATGAATAAGGTTACCCGTTATATCACCACCTGCAGCCGCAATTGCGTAGCGGCCTTGTCTGGTATATAACTAGGGTTGCCGTAGCATAACGCTACGTTATGGCAAGTGCTGCATATCGCGCGTTGGTAGGACGAGTTGACCCGTATGTGCCTGCCAAATTCCGGCCACTCTGGGAGCATCCTGCAGGCCCAAAGACAGTGTTTTTCTGGGCACCACTATTCAAATGGTGTTTAGTGATTGCCGGTCTAGGCGACCTAAAACGGCCTGCTGAAAAGTTATCAGCTACACAAAGCACCGCTCTTGCTGCCACGGGCCTTATCTGGAGCAGATACTCATTGGTGATTAAGCCGAAGAACTATTCGCTTTTCTCAGTCAACCTCTTTGTCGCTGCTACTGGCCTTTATCAGCTTTTTAGAATCATGAACTACCGTCAGAAGCGAAAGGAGCTGCCAGGTCTCGAACAAAAAAACGTCTGAATAATACTACGGCATGATATAGTAAAGAAATTTTCTATGGCAACGAAACATTCAACTCCAACTAGTTCCAAGAGCGAAGTGTTGGATGTATTCGATCCTTCCCGGAAAAGGAAAACTTCTACGAGAGCGTCGCTGGCGCTGTTGAATAAATGACGAGTGACAAAGTGTCATGTAAGGACACGTAAGATTCTAAAGAGCGTAGAGACTGCTATGTCCGCGGACGTAGGCGTTTCACAAAAACAATTTGACCTGTCAGATGATAAGACAGATTGAAGGTTACGACATAGTGGCGAAATATATTTCCGAATCAGTTAATAATAAGGTAACGTTTTAAATTCTTCAACGTTTAAAACACGATATACTTTGTAATATCAACTCAGATTTCTTTCAATGGCACAATAGATCACAACGTATAAAACAAATTGCCGAACGATGTATCATACCCATAAAGTTTCCTATCGTCGTGCCTCACAGGAGTATGTTCAAGCGGAGGACCGAAAACATGTTCTGTGGACACGTAAACAACTTTGTATTGCTTAACTGCTGCTTTTTGGTTATTGTATATGTTACCGATACTAGAAAAATAAATAAAATCTGCCGTTTAGTGAATGAAAAAAGGCCTATTTCTATACTGTAGTGTTTAATCGCGGCTATTGTCCATGCAAAAGTTAGTTCTTAACTAAGTTGAATCCGAAAGCAATGAGGATATCTGTTAAAAGCAAGTTATTTCGTTATATTTAAATCCTTGTTCAAGCTGCATCACCAACTGTTAGATGCGAGGAAAATTTTGTAGGAAATACCAGGTATATGCTCAGGCTTGCTTTCATTTCATCGATCGTAATAACGCAAACCGAGAAACATGATCTGTACAATTTGAATAGCTAAATAGCAGGATAGTTAATACAAAACCCCGCTTTTTTTAAATGCACGGGACATTTTTAAAAAAATCTTAGTCCTATGAAGTGTTCTACATATATACGATCGTAGGACTTGAAAAAGACTGAGATTTTTGAAAATGAATGATGCGACGTATCATAAATAAAAGATAAGAGCTTACAATTAGCTAAAGAGAAGACGCTTTTTCAACTATTATGTCAACTGTCGCTGGCGTCGCATAGCCATATTACTGCTGCATCAATGTGTTTCATCTTCCTGTACGTGTTTTCCTGCCGCCGTGCTTTTAAAACTACTCATATATAGTCAGCGATATACACAAGGGATAGACGGTACGAATCGATACATTCACATTACGAGCAATTTAGCGTTAATGACGGGCTAAGCGTTCTACAGCATGTAGACAGTCTCCTACTCACCACCGGGAAGATGTACAAAAAATCATGCAAAGGAACTGTTGAAGTCCTATGGGTGTTTGCTTTCGAAAGAATATATACGATTGTCTTCATCGAAGCCTGGAATCGAGCGCTTCTATCATATTAAGCTTCTATGCTGTTGGCAGCATAAGTCGGTGTGCATATGTTATGGGGTCGCTCACGTATTGGCAAGGTGCGTGAGGTAACCACATTATGATTGAAGGGTAACGGGCATACATCATTGCCGTGTAAATAGAGTTTTAGCAAACTCTAGTTCTATAACAAACATGTCGAAAAAAAAACCGTCGGACGAATGAAGCGGTTTACCTTATCCCTGTGCTTCACATTTTTCGATAATGTTGAGAGAACATAGGGAAAGGGTAATTTACGTATAGTCTATTCATAGTTTTGCACGTTGCATTTGGTTCTGCCTCGTGAACTTAGGCACTCCAAAATTTGATATTTTTTGAAGTACCGATAAAGATCCTAATAATCCTTTAATATGGTACTGCAATCCAATACGATCATATTGACAGAGTCACCAGAAACCGAGCTTTTATCCAAACGAGCGATTTTGTTCAGTTTATACAATTTTGGCTCATTGTTAGCCGCGTCACTGGTCGCCAATTTCCCACAGGAATTAACAACAATTATTAGTAAATTAAGATCATTATGTACGTGGATGATTTTACGCTGTATATTAGCAACCGACTTTACCTGCAATAAGCGCTAATCGAATTTGGCCTTTTACGTCACAAATATTGAACGATGTATTGAAATACTGAACACACGGAGTACAGAAAGGGTGAAATTAACGGTGTGATTTACGGTGAAAAAGGTCGGATGCTTTCTCTTTAAATGACCACATTTTGTCAGACTCATCTATTTGGGAGTCACATTGATGTCAAGCGTGAAATCGTTCGAAGCACGCATGGAAAACCAGAGCTCACGAATTTTTTTACCTCTGGCGTTTCGAAAAGAAAGTCAAAAACGGTTCTTGTCGAAAATGGCATCGTATTTTGTTCAGGTGAAGATAGCACCAACGGTAACGTGTTGTATCCAGCTGTACCGACAAAAATTAAATTTTTGATCCATCGAAAGAATCGAACGGCTTTCCGAAAAATACTGTAGGTATTAGCCGGTCAACAAAGAACTAGCTAGTCCATTCGCAGAAAGCACGCATTACCCCATGCATCGAGATATTAACAGCTTGTGAACATTTGTTAAGGTTAACGTCAAGTATATGAAAGCGGTAAGTAGTCACTAATGAATATATCTAAAAGTGTCGTAACTATTATAGATACACAGCCCATAGCTTTTATTATCTACACCATACAATCGACAATTACCACGAACTAAATAAGAACTGTACCTAGAAATACTGTGAATTATGGTGTCCCTATAACTATATACATACAGAAAAGAAGGAATGTCAAATAACAGAATTTACAATGCTCAAATCTTAATATGATAAAGAAACATTTAAATAGTATTTACTCAATTGTAAATTAAAATAAACATGAAAAATAATAAAATTTATCTTTCAAGTTAAAACGCTGATGGCTGACGTGCTACGGTGGTTCCTAAAAGAAGTAAACGTTCTTTACTACAATAACTAAGTATTTTTTTGCTAATTTTTACGATAAATATGTAAATAAATCACACATTTAATGAAATAATTAGATCATATAAAATAATATTCAAGCCTACGAATAATATCTAGATTGATTAAAAAAAATATACACATCGGTTTCTACGTCTACGCTAATAGAGCCATACCTCACATACATGTTACAACGAAAATATGAAAGCAACAGTTAACGCTGTGTCTTGCACAATTACAGTAATAAATAATAAAAAAGAACGATTAGGTGGTACCGTTTGTTCGATGTAAAAGATTCAACGAAGCCGTAAATGAGAAAGTTGCAAAATGGTGCTAACCAGGTATAAATATTAGATATCATTTACACTTCGGGAACCGTTTTGAAGGGAACTTGACAAATGAACCCACCCCAGTAAGGCCCGTGCTAGCAAATGAAACTGGTAATTTGTGTCATCATACTGGGTCCTCTCGCCTGCCTGAAAATGCCAAATATTATACGAAATTTCCGGTTCACAACGCGGCAGTGCTTAAGGAATCTATTTCACTTCAGCAAAATTGAATGATTTTGACAGTTAGCTTTTGGTTTATTTAATCATTGTGCTCCTTTGTTACTTTATTTTCTAAATCAAAAAATGAACCAAGATCAATGACAAGTTACAAATAATCCAACCTACTACTCGTGCCGAACCAGATCCCAAAGTAATTTTTATCGTCACCAAATTCAGTCACCGATTCATTGCAGCTAAAGACTGCCAATAGTTTTACTTATATTCTCATTGAATGGACTACGTAAGGTTATGTACTCATCATTTATACTTCGATGTAGAATAGCTGGCTGTTTATATATATATATATATATATATATATATATATATATATATGTAAGGATTGTTCTATTATAAAATAAAGTGAATAGTCATTGAAATCACAAGTGTTTTGCTTACCTCGTTCACCTTGATTAGTGAAAATGACAACAAACAAGAAAGCCAGGATAAATTGCCAACAACTTCACATGTAGCCGGAAGCAGTGAGGAAACTTCAACTTCGGATACGTCTAATACAGGAGATAGTTCACAATCGCTTCTAAGAACTGCTTCGGACGACACAACGACACCCCGTGATTTCGATACCCTCATTGATGAGCACCTAGTAACAGTGGTGCGTATCTTTGTGTACCGTTATATAAGACGATTTACAGAAGCTGGTTTGCTCATAGCTAGCTCTATTGCTCTACCAACTTTCGTTGTTACATATATTACACGACTTGTTGGGTTATAATGAGAGGATTACTGTAACTAAGCACAACACTTTCATAGTTATAATCATTGAATTGATTGAGCTTAAGAATTACTCCACACAAAATGCCACGAAACGTTGGCAAATATTATGCAACTACACGAAATTCTAACCAACCTTATTATTAAGATAATCAAGTTATATAACGTTTCAGATGGCATCGGACTGGGCACAAGACACCGATCAAAACGGTACCTCTCAATGGTCCGTGGCATCGGCTGTCGCGCCTCGCGACGATAGTCCTTTGGTCGTTACATCATCTCTTGAGCTCACATCTATTTCCGACGTTGAAGCAGCCCTTCAAAATAGGTCGATTCCTGGAGGTGCGTCATCATAACGAGTTCCGTGACATTTAATTAAATGTGCTCACAAGGCCTACTTTAGCTGCAGTCAAAGTCTGTAGGTCTGGTCTTTCGAAACAAGTTCGAGTGTATGATTTTTATTAACACTTTATCCGTAGAAAGTGGTTTCGGTCCACCATATTACACCACCATGTTACCATAGATTTTTTTAATTGTAAAAAAACCTAAACTTATAAAAAGTCAGCCATTGAAATTGTTACAGTGCGCTACTTTTGCTGCCTTTCCCGAACCTTGTTTAGAGATAAAAGCTTTGAAAACTATAAATTATCGGAACAAATAGTGATAGGAAATCAAGGCAAAGTTATTAATAAGCTATCTCGGAGCTCATCTATGATACGTGGTGCGAATAATGGCCATCGAAAGCCTTGAAGCATTTGGGGTTTACGCCGAACGTCGGTCGACTAAATGAATTGAACTCGCACGATCCCACTGGATGCGAATCTATATTGCTCATAGCTTTTGCTTTGGCCTTAATTGCATGTATCGCTATTGCATAGGTCTGCCTTTGTTGCTTTAAAAAAAATGAGGATCCATTGAATCAGTCTCCTTATGAACATCGAACCAATCAGTATATAAGATACGGCGCTGCATAAAGGCCTTCACCCTGCATGTATTAATAATAAGCACAATGCAAAGAACATGAAGGTTTGCTTATTTTGCCTGAAGCACAAAAGTTAGTGCCGGTATTGCTTGCGAATTCCCAGCTGGACTTATTGACATTTTGACAGAGCAGTAGAAATGGAAACAAAAGTGTTATATTCTCATCCTCGTATGCTATGTACAAGGAACATCGAATCCGAATGTTACACTCCCGACATATTTTGATCCCAATCTTTTTCTTATACGTCTGTCTTCTTCGAGCCACGAGCACCATATGTGGTATGGCCATCTTGCAAAGTTTCATCTATGAAAATTTTAATTCATGCATTTGTTTAAATTGCGTCTTTTGCTGCATGCGTTATTCGCTTGTGCCTATCTGATTGCTGCTCAATCCATCTGCACCACCTCCGCCGGCGCCTGATGTTCCGTGTCCCCCGACCATCTTGGTCATTCATTGCACTTCAACAGCGTGCCATTCGGACGGTGCCTGGTTCATGGAAGGTTCGGCCATGCTACCACCTCGCCGTACTGCGAACGGTGACGCCAACTTAACTTCGAATATCATCTTTCAAGGATGTTCTTTCTGCTATTGCTTGCGGGGCCGGAGGCGCTGTGTAAGGCCACGCTGTGCCCTTCGAGTTCCAGGCTGCACCCCACGTTACGCTCATCCAAACGATTGTTGTCCAGCAGCGTACAATTGCAGCGGAAAGCGGAATGCGTCGGCTGTCGAAGGGTCTGACGGAGGTGAACAAGAACCATTGTTATGAATACATTTATTCAACCGATCTAGCAGTCGAATGAATATACAGTCTCGAGTAGTATCCTTGTGTAAGCATGATTTTGCTCGTCAAGATAGGTGGCCAACGTTATTAATACATGACTTTATTTGGCACCTAACATCGGTGTTCGGATAACAAAAATGGGGCAGTTCACAGTGTTACTAGACTAACTGCAACTATTATCAAGCATCGTTTTACAAGCATTCTTTTATTGATTTTTCAGCTATTTTAACTGAAGGTTCAGCTACGACAACAGCCCCGATTATCGGCGCTCAACAGGTGCCCGTTCCTATCGCAGGTGAGACGAGTACACCTACACAGTGTTTCTGCTGGAACGCGTTCAGATTATGTAAGAACGTCGTTATCAGTAGAGGTGTAGTCTTTATAAAATACAGATCTAGACAGTGTGCCCACATAATGCATGTTCATTGTTAGGTAATCTAACGTAAATCAATACCGTACATTTAATATTTAAGGGTGTCTTCAAAACGGTCGTGTATCTGCGATCGGTACTGTTTTATCTACTAAAGAGCCATGTCGTACTTGCATCTGTTCGCCGGAGGGTCTTGTTTGTTCGCCTGTTGAGTGTCCTCTTGCAGCTCCTGAATGTGTAGGCGTCACCCCTCCTGGACACTGCTGTCCTATTGAGTACATTTGCGGTAATTAAGCTAGCAATTTTCGATTTGGATTGAATCGAAATACTACATTTATGCCCTTGAGCCAGCAAATCGTATCCCGGTACCGTTGATCTTAATTAATGTAATGAAAAGGTTTATCCGAAAAGCCCAATAATTCAGTAGTAAACACTGAATACTGTTTTATACTTTGCTTGAACAGACACAATCCGTAACACACAAAACGAAACAGAGCAATTGAAGATCATACCGGACCCCAGGCCCGGTTCGTTCAAAGAAACACACTTGTTTCGTAAACTTGAAGACGATGCATTTCTGCCGAATGTTACGGAAATCTTATCGAAGGATCAAGAAAGAACGTCCTCGTTCAGGTAAATACAGATGAAATGGTTTCGCATGTTGAATAACGATTGTAGGCTTCTCTCATCCAATTCCAATTTGTTTTCAAATGTTAATCAGACTAAAATTGCCCAGAGGTTTACGTTCTTCGAACAAAATAACCTATATTACAATCCACAGCGGCCCTTTACATTGTTACATTACAATAGAATAGCATCTTACGCGATATAAATAGCATTGTGAGCCGCTTTCGAATGACACAAGATATCTAGCTAATAATGTTTAACGTCTCTGCTAAAACAGTTCCGCCACGCCGACTTCATCAACCGAGTCATTTCGGTCTCAAGAAGCTACTGACCTATCAAATGAAGCCTCTTCTATAGTAAAGGAGAGCGACAATCGCACTGAAAAAACGTTTTCATCTTCTAAAGGCAGCAGCCAATCTCTAAATCCTAATGATCAGGTACGCAGGAGCTTGAATTCGCGAACGTACATCAATGATCTCACGGATATCACAACAACATATGTATACCAACTTGATTGAAGTGTATAGACCCGTTATATATGAATGCAAGAAGGAATTATAATAAAATCATGCTAAAAACATCGATTCTCTACCCAGGAAAAAAACAAACGATTGCTCCCATCTGAAGTTCAACTGGAGAAAAAGCCAAACATTAATTCTAGCCAGGAACTGCACGAATGGAAACTTGCCTCAAACAAAGTAAGAATGCTATTACAACCGGTTGAGTGAGCACGCGAACGTAAGACCGTATAATTCAAGCAGTAAGGAAAATTATGTGTTCAATTTGAATGTTCCTCGCGTGTATACTATAAAAACGTAAGTACGTAGAACCATAAAAATTCCTTCTTCAATTTTCTGTTCACTAGAATGATTCTCGTATTAGCAACTGAAGGAACGATCATTACTGTTTTTGCACAGGTTAACGTCGATGCTAGTCACCTTGACCCCTCAAGCAATGGTCAGTAGCCACTTCGTCCAGAACAAACACTTTATTTGGTTTGATTATTATCTTAGTTAGAAAATAAGATATAGGCTATCATTTAAACAGTAGGCGATCACGGCGATGCCGGTTGCGTTCTTATTCTTTTTTAGATATATATTACTTTTCATATTTATTAGATAAGCGTATCTTGAGAGACTATCTAGCACAGTGGATTCTAGCACACAGGAACAGATTATACATTAACCCTACAATGTCGTTTTCAGATACACTCAGTTTATTCTATACGCCCGAAGTTCTTTTAGAGTCAAACCGTACCATCGATACAGCCGAGCAGATACATTCATTCACCGCTGAGAAGTTGGCGGTGTCCTCGAAAGAGCCGTTAACAAGCACCGAGGCTGCTTCGACGGATCCTCTGCAAATAACAACAGCGACCGAAGCTTCTCCGATCAGTTTGAACACATTGATCAAGTTTGCCCCGGAGCATCAAACGATTAGTAAGGAAAGTCGACGTACGAACCCATCACACGGCATAAATGAGGGTTCATTAGCAAAGGTGACAAAGAACAATCATTTGGTACTCAATCTTGACTTGATCGATTTCCGAACGAAGGCGGATAATCAGAGCCCGGACAACTTACTTTTACATCAACATCAGCCTATATATGTTGCCGAGGAAAAGGTAGATCGTATTCCCGGCCATCGCGATAAAGCCCCCACTATTAGGCCAATCCTTACGGGCGACACTGAAATCCTACCTCAGTCGCAGTATACCACACCGCTAAAACGAGTATTGTACACCACTGAGGTACCGAAATATACCGTACCCGCGTATCTTTCCGAGGCGTCAAGTCCCGCCTTAGCAAGGGTGCAAAGTATTTTCATCGGAAAAAGCGGTGATATATTGAAGATTAGTGACCGTCATGGAACAACAATTGCGGCGGAAGGCAGTAGTGAAAATATCACAGGGTCAGATATAAATATTGGCGGCGCAATAACGACAGAATCCATTGATCTCAAAGAAGACTCGTTCCCCACACTGGCCACATACACGGAGTATCCAGTTGACGTTGATGCGAAACGTTCACGAACGTCAAATAGCAAAAAATCTACATTTGCCGTCGATCTCGGATCTCATATGACTGTGGCGTACAACTCGGGAAAGCTGACACCGGAAAGCAGGATCACCACCGCCAAAGGCCCTGCATTCGATCAGGACCTAACGCTTCGGCGTTTTATCACGACAACACAGCTGCCCCCACATGCGTCCCTAGTTTTAGATGCGATCCAAGAAAATACCGACTTTAACGAAGGACCATCGTCACCATGGGTTACGCCATCAGCAACGCGCACAACCACTGAACTGCCAAGGCCGAGTGGACACGTCTTCACACTGCAACAAAGGCGGCATCACGAAGAGCATCTGACACCGACCGAGTCAGAGGTAACAGTGAAACTTACTAAAAAACAGAGTGATGATGTCACAATTACTCCTGGTTTCATTAAGTCCGCACCTTCAAATCTGCTTAAAGCCGAGATACAGTACGCAACGGGCAGGGAAAGTGAGGCATCGTCCAGTACGAGCACTCCCTCCGACATTATCAATAGCAAGTACAGACTTCGTACTCAAGACCCATTACAACATGACTTTAAGAAGACAACAAGCGCAAGCACGACAATGACTAAATCTACAAAGCCGATTCAAATTACAACTTTACAGATGAGCAGTCAGGCCGAGCATTTAGAACCATTAGGACAGCCCACATCGACAACGGCCAGTATCGTCTACCGAGACCTTGGCCACGAGGTTGAATCCATAGACTCACAACAACTTAATCAGCTAATCAAGGATCACATCGAAAAACATAGGCGAAAGGACAATGCTATAGGAGCTACTTCTTCCTCCCTTGGTAACGGTGCAATTGGATCATCGACGCACGCATCAAATAGCGGTAGGATTGATTTCGCTGAAGGCGTGAAATTATTCTCAACTCTGCTCTTGAGCGGCTTGGCAATGGGTAACCGCAGGGAACCCACGAGTTCGACCCAGATTTCCCCACAAATTTCCTCGCTAACACCGAACAGTGCCACATCCCCATCGACAGTGAATCCTTCTAATTTGGAGAAGCGATACCAAAGGCCGCCGTTGCACCCCCCATCTGCAGTAGAATTCGATTCGCATCGGCCCGTAATAGGTGAGCCCCAGTTGAACCAGTTTTCAAGTCCAATACCCATTCCGGTGACAGCACATCCTATACCGAACTTTGAGCAGCACGCCAATGAAGTTCGACTCCCCCATAAACAGTCATATCACTATCATCAACCACAAAAGCAGGATCGACATGACGGAGGTTCTCCACAGCTATATTATATCGATGACCCTCTGTTGAACTTTACAAACAGAGGGCGAACTCACACTCAATCGACGTCACACCGCCCGACTCCACCGAGTGCGAATGTTACTATTGGCAATGTTACTCAAGGACCAAGCACTACTGAAACTACTTTGAGCACAAGGTTTTCAGTAAAAGAGACGACGGAAGCTACAACAGCGAGCAGTGTGACTTCGAAGCCAGCTGGATTCAATAGACAACACGGTATGAAGGCGTTAGTGAATGGTAATCGCCGGCATAATAGCGATTACATATTGTCATAATACATTTATTTAAGCTGAAAAATAAATAAATAAAAAAGAGAAAATTAAAAAAACAATACATATATATATATATATATTTGAGGGACTTAGCGGAACATGGCAGATGCAAAGTTTTACTGATAATTTGCTATGGCTTGTTGTCACTGCAGACGGTAAAATGAGTGCCCCAACCTATCTGATAAATTGCAGCATTCAACATTTTATCTAAGATATTTATTTATATTGACTTTACTATTATCATTCCGAATATTATGCAGAGTTAACATTTTTTATGTCCTCCAGCCGCCTTAGACAGGATCCTAAATTTTTGTACGCCATACAGAAACTGCATATTTCCGTTTGCGGTAATTACTCTAGGTAGTAATAGTTATCTTCCTAAATAGGGAGTTTACTGATATCACGATGTAAGGTCTTTGTTCTTTACTTATCAATCCTCACTCGTACTCAAATTTTGTTTGGCAGTAACCGCCGGTGTGATTGCCAAAAGTCCAATAGGGCCTTTAAGCGTCGGAAACGGAGGACAACGTGTAGTGCCTTTCTTGGCGGATGATGCCGTATTTAGGCCAATTGCCAATCCTCTGTTAGTGCTATCTGGAAGCGCATCCGGCAAAAAGAAATCGACCAGCCAGCCTCAGAATAACAAAAAAACAACATCATTGAAAAAAGGTACTTTGAAATGAAAATGTCGCTGATCGGTCTGACGGTAATAGTATCCCAACTCATTCATATTAGCCAACGTTTGCTTTAAATCCTCTGTGGAGACGTTTTTCAGCTGTCTGCGATATCTCTACGATAAATTATGTGATTGCTGACTGAAGATTTTTCTGTGCTTTTCTGTCTGCATATTGCTATCAGTATTGTTACTATTACTTCGGCTTTCGCCTTTAAAAGCGTATCATTCGATCCTTCATAGGCTCGAATTGTTTTATCGGCGGAGTTACATACGCCGATGGTGAAGTTATTCCGAAAACCGACGCATGCGAACTATGTCGTTGCTACTTCGGCGAAGAACTCTGTGCAGTGCGGCGCTGTCCGCCTCCTCCCGGATCCGATTGTCGTGCCGAACCTCTACCGGGATCCTGCTGTCCGCGTTACACTTGCAGTAAGTATTGTACATTGTTTATTATTCAATAGCCGATCGTCTGCTCGTAAATTTCGCAGCCAAATACTCCGACGTTCATCGACACGTATACAAGTGAATGCTATTACACAATACCAGATATAATATAATTCCGGAAGTCGATTATTTTGCGACTCATTTTTTCGTGCTTGCAAAACGATTTGCTGTAACATAATGTCTAAATTCTGTCAAAGGACATTATTTATCTAAACATAATTAGAAGGATACCTACCTAATGACTGGTATATGCGGCAGATACCCTAGGACCCCAGTTCGATATCAGCTGTGTGAATTATAGTGTTCTTGGTCATCATGGTTAAAAACTAACCACTCAGAAACATACTATCTCTTGGTTGGCTTTGTCAATGACTTTCCTTTTAATTCGATAGGACCCGAATCGGTAACCCTTCCTCCGTCAGTGATGCCAGGCTCAACCTTAGACGACGGCTTTCATCAGCCCAATCACCCGAAATTCGTGCCGCACATTGACATTTTGATGGCACCTCAAGGAGATCAGCGCTTGCTTTTACTTCATCAACATTCAACTTACCAAAGCAGTTCGAGCAAAGGCAGTAGCAACCACGAACGCTCTTCCTCCACGATGTCGCAACAGGTACGGTAATTTCGTCTTGAAAACACGTTTGAAAAAAACATATTGGCTTTCAAGTTATTCTGCCAACTTGCCAAACCAGCTACTAGCAACTCAGAATTCGAATGCACCAATTTAGAGATATTTTAGTTACCAAAATATTTTTATTTTCGACAAAGTATTTTCTCATTTAGACTGATCTGGAACTAAAGCCCAGCCGCCCTCTGTTTTTAGGGACTTCGTCGTGGAGGTTCATCCAACTGGAAGAAAACCCGTCCCCTCCCGTCGCCGTCGTACAATCCGTTCTTTCCAGGACCTAGACGGGACACCCCGCCTCCGCGTTCCACACCCTCCCCCCAGCAGGTATTTACACTCAACTATCTTGAAAAACCGTATCTAAGATTAACCCTTTAAATAAAGAAAGTTTTTTTCAATAACTTTCACATTAACCGAGTTTCCAAAAATAAGGCATGTTCCATGCTTCTGCCATGTCCTGCAGGACGCATCTTGTGGTCGTTGAAAAATAACAATGACTGGAAATTTTTTACTGACAGAATGTAATTCTTTATTTTCATTTTAAGATGGCCAGTACAATCACGTCGCCTACGTCAGTGGATGTTTCGCCAAAAGTTAGCAGCCCGTCAAGTGTCACAAGGCAGACGGCTCTGTCCTTAGAAAACGAGATTTCTGCCACATCAAATACGTGAGTCATTCACCATTGACCTTACGGATCAAGGTCGTACTTAAATGCTATTGCGAAGTGTTTTGGATGCTCTGTTAAGAATTGTTGTTGTATTTACAGAAACATATTTTATTATAACATTCCAGGTTCAGTAATAAGCTTCCAGGAAGTGGCGAATTCACGACAATGCCTACAGCGACCCTTGCATTATTTCAACATGCATCAAGTAGGTTAACTTTACAGTTTCTCTAGCTTTGTTAGTTCCCAGCGTTAATGAATAGCCGTTTATCGCGTGCCTAGCTGCGTGTTATGCATCGGCCTAGTAACATGCTTCACAATAGTGGTAAGATAGTTTGTTCTCTGGTGATGATGGAAAAGTTATGGGGATAAAAGACTTTTTCAATTCTTATTAGTCCTATGGAAATCAGTTTCTGATAAATTATACAATTATTATTAGAAGGAGGTATATATTTTCGTCCTGTGCACATAGGTACTGTGTCAACAACGACTACTGCCGCGACTCCATCAAGCAACAGTGGGGGAAGTGGGGGAGGTGTGTTTTCAGCTATTACAGACATTCCGTTTATTCGATCGTTCTTCAAAAAAGACCCACCACAAGCTTCTGCTTTGTCAACAAACCGGCTGTCAGACTTCAACAGGGACAGGCACGCGTCACATAGTATAACCAGCTCTTCAAGCCTAAGAACACCTACACCGGGTTGGTTTTCTTCCGCAAAATCGACGATACCTAGATTAAGAGTTAGCAATAATCATCCAATATTTAATTCAGCAAGGGTTCCTGTTAGATTTAGTGGAAAGGAGCAGTTGTATGCGAGCTAAACGTCTGCTAAACGCAAATGAGGTTAAAGTGCATAGTAATTATGACACATCTAAGCTTCATTATATAGTTTTCTTCCAAATATAACAATTATCTAATCTCAAGATGTTTCCTATGTGCAACAGCTGCCCTTCGTGACGAGAATGTGTTTACAACTGTGATGCCGAGCTCCACGGCATCAATCTCACGGCCAAGTGACATTGACCTCGATGGTGGGCAAAAATTACAGCCTCTGCTAACTTTAAATGGTGCTTGGAACCTCGTCAAAGTATCTGGTTAGTGATGACAAGTGACCAACTGAAAACGCTTATCAATCTTATTTGTTAAGGATCAACTGATTATATACCGGACTAGCATAGCGAGGTAACGGTCCTGGATATTCTATGTGGTTTCAGCAAATCAGCTTTCTTTACTGATTGAATTCGCGCGATCTTCACACGCGTAACAGCAATCTGCCTAACTCCGCTTCTGTTTAGGTTGCAACATCTACGGCAAATTCTATCGCGTTAATGAAGTCGTTACCGAGTTAACCGAGCATTGTAAGGTCTGTACCTGTACCGCAATCGGTGTACATTGTATCCAGACTTGTCGATAGAGTGAGACGTAACCAGTGAAGCCTCGTGTGTCCTGCATCAAATTATATGGAACAGATGAACCACGTATCCATGACCTTGCGACGAGCCGTCATCGGTCCTGCAATAGCCGTTAAACTTCTAAATCCAACCGAATTTCTCAACTGCAGAGAGAACGGATCGAGGTTGGGGCATCTTTTTCAAGACGGTTTCAACAAAACGTACTAAATATCCTTTGTTTCGCTTCGACCCGATTTCTATATTTAATCTAACAATTTTGGAAGTCGGTGGAAAATTATCGAGAGTATCGTGTACCAGCACAAGCCTACAAAACTTCAATCCAAGGTATGCTAAATAGCACAAATCCTTCTTGAGCCTAGGATGGCTAAGCTCGCTCACAAATGTTGACGACGATCATGATCTATGTAGGTCTGGCTAAAAGAGCCGAAATTTTTAAGGTCTTAAGTTGGCGACGAGTTGCGGAAAAGTTTGCAAGGTTACTTATAATATAATACTTGTAATATTTTTATAGTTCTTATTTTCTTGTAACCTAGGTGTGATGTTTGCCGGATTCGACCTTGCTATCGTATATATTTATTAGCAGTAGCATGTATTGCTGGTTTCTGAGATTAACAGATCAATTGTACATGTAAATAGTAAACTGTGTTAACACTGTATATTGTCTAGGTAACAACAAAGATAGATACGAACTGTGTTCCGATTGAATTGGAATACGACATCACAAACGATCTAGACTGGTCCGGTCATAAAAGGACGGGGTGCCCGTTGTATTATACACGGGTGAAACGATAGCAGCTATACATATATATAATAGATCATATTATCGAAATATACTATACATTATTTACACAAAATGCTGATTTCGAAAATTGTTATGCACATAGACAGAAACATGTACCAGACACGTAAACAATACCGAAAAACACACAAATGACATGGAAACTAAAAACAACGATTTATTGAAGCTATTATAAATGAAATGTTAATTAGCGTAAGTTATGTCGCGAACACCAATTAGTGCATGATAAATTGACCCGAAAGGCGTGAGATAACACTGTAGAATCATGCAGCATGTAGGGGCAAAAAGGAAAGGGTGAATAAGCAACTACCTGTTTTCGTAGTTAAATCAAAAAAAATGAAGCACAGGTTAGGTAAGGGGTAAGAATGGACTTCCAGTCGAAGTAGCGAGAGGAACATGCTGTATTGCCTAGCTTAGGACATATATGGACGGTTCGGGTTTAATCCACTGCGACCTTAAGTGTGACTATCAGACTTCTCGTACTAACACTTATAAACCTAGTATAACGCCCTTGATCCATTGCTTGAAGAGTTAATTACCATCTACATGTCTCTAATCTGGTCAAAAATGATAAACCTCTAGCTAGGAAAACTCTCATTTAAAACGGCAGGCACGATTCGCTGCTGATGCGTGTTTTACAGTACTATTTATTTTAAAATTAGTAGTAATAATTACTAGTTTACTGACATTTGTACATTTGATAATGACGCCTTGGGTAAACAGGGAGCTCAAGCGAGATATAGCCGAATAATGGTAAATATATATATATATATATAAAGGAATGAAACGCACCGCAGCAACTTGGTTGACCGGTATTATACATTGCTAGGTATGATTACGGCGGGGACTTGCATTTCCTTTTTACTACCGAAGCAAAATCAATAAAATATGCAATATGCTTAAACATATATATATATATATTTTTTATATTTTTTGGATACGAAGCACAGATGGTCTTCGAAAACCTGATAGCACGACCGTCAAAAATAATCGCACGTTGAAAAAGTGTGTGTTAGCATACAATGGCTCGGTATTGACATACTCGAACGTAAGTGATATCCGAAGTGCTTCCGCTTACTCTGTGCTTGGAATATTTATAGAGTAGTTTAATACATTCGTCTCAAGGGAGAAAAAGCTAGCAAGAAAAGCAGCCAGCAGTCTTTAACTCACCTTGCAGATGCTAGTTCAGATTTTTCGCTGGGATCAAACAATACTTTTCAATATTGGATATGAGCGAAACCATCAAAACATGTTATGAAAACCTGAATAAAATGCAAATGTCTATGCAGTGACGAACGAGCTATACGATCGGCATATTAATGATTTATTTCCCTTTATATAATTGCCATAAGCCAGTTCCGTAACTAGCTGAAATATTTGGCTTGTCATGTTGACCTGTCGTTTTGCTATTTCCACTGTCTTATTTTATTGATGAGCAACGAGCACATGCTAAAAACCAAGTTTCGATTCGACAACGTTTCCGAAACGCGTCCCACCTGATGCGATGGTTGATCAATCTGCCGCTTATACTCTGCGACCCTTTCCTTTAAGAACCCCACCGCCTGCACCGCCCTCTCCGCTTCAGGCCCAGGGTTGCCAGACGAAATGCACCGCTCATGCAATATTCAAGCTACCACGAATACTAAATAGGACGCACGTTGCTTGAGCAAACAACAAACTCTATCATTACATCCAAAAATTGTTGCCGTCGTCGTCGTTGCTGTACCATCGTGGCCACCAATAGAGTAGCTTCCCAACAGAGATTCTTCGCCCAAGAGTTCTCTCCCTTTAATTCCCTTCTCTAAAAGAACCCCATACACAGACACACACCTTTGTAGGCCCCCCACAACGGTTTCTTCGACATTCTCCCGCCCCGCAACTCAAAGGTGTCTTTTTGAGTTACGGTTTACGCTGTCGTTTTCGGTTTTTTTTTTCATTTGTCGTTATTTGCGTGATATTTTTACGAGAAGTTTTTCTGAAAGTAGAGCTGGAGTTGTTTAAAGGAGCTTGCTGAAAGCGACAGCGCGAATAACGGGTCAAGGTTTGGAGGATCGAAAGTCTGTTTTAATCGGAAATGCCAATATACGATGCAACACTGTTTCGATTCTTTTTCTAGAAAACAAAAAATCTAGGTTGCTTTTTGAGACGATTTGAAAAAAATATCTAAAATTTAATTCTTATACAGCCAGCCATGAACAATTCAGTCAAAGGTATATGCAGCTCGTCTGTAACGTAGTGACAGTGTGTTTTAACTCCGAATTATAACCTGCCTTTTCGACATTCTTCCAAATAAACTTAGTGGTTAGAACTAGCTGCAGGACTTGAAGCAGGTCATCACGTATTCACGAATGCCACCCTTGTGAACGACAAACATTGGCTTAAATTTACAGCCAGATTGCTGCGCAACAGGCACGTTGACAATCTAGACAGGTGTAGGTGACTGGAGTATTTGTGCTCGAGTATAGCTACTGCTTTTATTTGGGGTTGCTTTTCTCCCGCTTTTTAAACCTACGAATTCTTCATGGTCTTTGTTCTATACAGGCCAACCACCCCCAACCATTTTTCCGACAGTCGGCGTTTAAGAACCTCTGATCATTCGCCTTGCCTGAACGCGAGGCGCTTCGAAGCAGCCGATGAAGCAACGTGCCCGCCAGCTCCGGTATTCCATCCTGTCGGATTCGTATACGTTTCTACCAATGTCTATATGTGTATATATCCCGGCTCATGAAACTTTTTTGTTTTTTCCACGCAGTTCCAATTCCCATTGGCAACTCCTCGTCGCCACATATCCTTCCGTGCCATTATTTCCCATAACAGTTTTTCAACTTCTGAGCATCCTAACACTACAAACGGGTAGGCAACCTCGCACGGTCGCTTTGCTTACACTTGGCCTACATCTACCTTCAGTCATTGTACCTAGTATAGTTTCAGTCAAAGTGCGCGGGTTTTGGTGGGCCCTAGTCCGCCAAACGTGCAGCTCACCTTCTCTTTCTCTCAGCGCCTATTTCTACCGGTAGAGCGTCTTATGGCGGCGCGGCGTACTGTGTGTACTCGTCGGCCGTGGCGCCCTCTCTTATTTTGCTCTTCCTCCCGCTCTTCCAGCAACAGCAGCCGGTTGTGGTTGTCGTTAGCATCGTCGTCCGCCTCCTCCTCTTCCTCCTCTCCACTTCAGCGGGAGGTGCTCCGGTGCTCGCAGCATCGCACAAGCAACGCACTACGGCGGGTGAACGAGTGCGAAAGCCGAATTGAGCGAGAAGGAGTTGCTGTTCATGTTGTGCTCGTTCTTTCACTTTCTCCCTCTTTCTATCGGAGTGTCAGACTCTTTCCCTCTGTTCGTTTCGCCAACCGTCCGTCGTCTCGCGTGCTGCTAGCTACTACGACACTGACGGCGACCACATTTACTAGCTCTGTGCTTGGCAGCGGCCCGTTCGAGTGCCGCTGTGCCTGGCGACCCGGCCCCGTGTCTGTGGTCCTTTTTTCGCCAGTGTGTGCGCCGTGAGCTGAGCCGCTGGCGCTCGACGCTGTTGTTACCGCTGACGATTTTACCTTGCGTTTTTGGCCCACCACAGCACCAAATACAACTCATCAGGAAGAGGAACTGGCTGGCTAGTCCTTTAAGGCTCTTTTTCTCTAAAGATCCTTCGAAATTCCTCAACACAAGGGGAAGAGGGAAACGACCGTGTCGCTCAACGAGTCCGTTTGCTATGCAGCCATTGCTGGCAAAGAACGGTAGGAGATAGCCGCCTTTTGCAGCCGCTGCTGCTACTGCGTGAGCGACACTAGCAGCAGCAGCAGCAGCAGCAGACGAAGCGGTCGTAGTGAGAACAACGACGACGACGGGAGCAGCAGCAGCAACAACAACAACAAGAGCCACGACAACAATAACGACACCGACAGCGGCCCCAGTCGCGACTACGGCTCAGACGGATAGTGAGAAAGGCGAATATTGTAACGACGCACGAAGCTTAACGAAGCCAGCGGCTTCAGTCCTCCTCAACTCGCCTCATCGTTCAACCAACATCAGCCCAGCGAACAGCGACCCAACAGCCAACAACAACCCCCGAGCCAACACAAAACAAGTGCAAGCGGCGCGGCGCGGCACAGCGCGGGAAGCTCGTAGTGTGTCGCTGATAGTGAGGTTCGCGAAGCTAGCGAGTTGGACAGACAAGCAGACAATGAGCCAGGAATACCCCCGAAGTGCGATCTACTGCCATTGAATAGCAATACTGGCGGTGATGCTGGTCGTGCACATTGAAACAATGGTGCTTGGAGCTAACGGCAGCAGCGGGGGCTGCCACACGAGATAGGTGCGATCGCCAATGGAATAATACAAGTGGACGTGGACAGACGAAAAGAATAGAAGTGTTTGATAAAAGTGTATATCCGCGTGAAAGAAAATACGGTTACGGAGCCTAGTCTCCGACGAATAAAAATGGTAGCTTAAAGTTGATTGAAGTCTTAGTTGGATTTGGTTACCTGTCGCCTTTAATACCTGAAAACTTGAAGCATTGTGGATGCACGACATTTCGTGGCTTAATAGCTGACGATACAATGTAGAACTGTCGTTAATTGGAAATTAGTCGCTGAGTAGACGGCGGGTAAAATCAGTTAGACAAGGGTAATTCACAGATTGTAGTTCGTTTTCGGCTGGAAGTATCATACATCATCGTGAAGAAGTTCGAGAAAAATATTCATCTTGCCATAGGTCTGGAACCGCAACACGATATTGCCAGGATCAATGTGTGTGTATTAAAGTGTGTTGAGGTAAAGGAAATGAGCGACAAAAGAACACAACGATAAACTCTTAGTGTTTGAAATTGTAAATTGCTATGAACCGACAGTCTACCTGGATTTACTTTTTGTTCTACTTAAACTCCTATCTTGTGTGCGATAATATACAAAATGCATGTGAGAATTTTTAGCATGAAACATTTTAAATGCCGCTAAGAGCTTGACGATAAAACAAGCCATCGCAACGAGTCATAGCCCGCGTTATAATCCAAACACTAGCGGTCTCGAAGCCCATCGTGCACTTCTGCTATTATATTACTGCTTCCCGTTATTTTAGCCCATGTTGGGTTCGTGTTTGTACGGTGAACATTGCCGTTATTGCCTTTTTAACCTGCTGACGCCAGGCTCGACATTGCGGCTTTGTTTCACTTCCAAAAGGAAGTTTGTTTCTTTCAAACCTAGAACTGAAGCAGTATCTTTGATCTATTTAGCCTCACTCTTTTCAACAAAAGAGGACTCGTTCACAAATCTCTCTCTAGCAAGCGGGCCGTCCCCATGCAGGGTGGGGTTGTCCTGTGTTGCTGACCGCAGGCGGCTGGCCGTTACCCGGCCTCCGACTTAGCTGGCGAAAGCAAAAGTGTAGGTGTCAGTAGCTAGCCGATAGCTGCTTGCCATGCATCGTCTTGGCACTCCCATGGATCTGCCACCTTTACCGCCCCTACAGCCTATATCCACTATCTCAAACAACAACAACAACAACAACAATAGTAGTAACAACAACAACAACAATAACAGCTTAATGTCGGCGTCGTCGATAGCCGTATCGCTTCAGCCTGGGGGTGGCCTGCACCCTATGGGGGTAGGTCCTGGATCCGGCATAACTTTGCCCCCACTGACTAGCGGCGGGCAGCAACTTCAACAGACTGTTGCGCCTAGCACTGACATGGCCACCACCACTTTACTCTCAGGATTCTTCAACGAGTATGTTACGGCACCCACGGGTCCACCAAGTTCGACCAGTTCGGGACCACAAAATGCGGTACGTTTTTAACAAACGCTTATTCTTCGTTCACTTAATTAACTGCAGTGATAATAATAATAATAATTATTATCATCATATTTCTGAGTGTTTAAAAATGCATAGTGTGCATGTGTCTCTGCAAAGCATCACTACTAGTTCCAAGAGATTTTTTTTGTTTAACCGTTAAAGTTGTTGGGCGTAAACTTTTTAAACGTCGTTTCGAAATGATGACAGCGAGTTGTTTGTCTAAGTTACTGCGCGTGGCTTTAATCTGCACAGTGCGAACTTAAGCAAACTTAACTAACAAAGTCTTCACTTGAGTGCTTGGGCTGGATTCCCATCATATGCTTAATTTTGTAATGGAAACGGCTTGTTTATCGGCTTTGCGACGGTATCAGTGGCCATACGCCAGTCAGCCCAAATCCTTAACCCACAAAACTGCGTTCCAATTGTCCTTATTCGACGGTGTCCGTAAACGTTTTGCAGTTATTAAAAAATTTCGTCTCCGATAGCCATTGCTGCCGATATCACAACTGTTCTATGGTACACCTTGTCTCTTTTGGCTTGCCGGAAACGACTATTGGAATCGTCACATGTACGATACCAGATACTCTTCAAGGCAGTGAACTTAACTGATATATTTTAAGGCGTAAGTTCCTATATATGAAAATAACATAGATCCAGATGTTAGATAGACAGAAAAGCTTCTGATTTTGGGCGCTAGGATGTTAAAACAATACTATACTATAATAGTGGCTCAGTCTTTATGGGGTTCCAGAAGCAGGCTGCTCATATAACTAAACGAATACATTGAATGTTTCTCACGAACAGAACTTGTATTGAGAGTCTTGCGTATTCCATTACATAGAATTAACGACGGAGTAATAAATTGACTTTTTTAAAGAGCGTTGTATTTGGACTGGTTCTTAATTTCGCCATGTTACGTACCGTTGGTCATGTTAAAGGAGATAATTAATACAAATAATTAAATATATAAATTGCATGGCATTATTGTGGCTACCGTCTTATATGAAGATTGTGTTCTTGTGACACTGCCTTAACACAATGAGCATACGATGCATATTTCGCTCTATTATTAGATGGTGATGCTTAATTATGAATGATGAGTTTCAGCAACATTTTACATATAAAGCCATCCCATGATCTACCACCAAACATAGTCCTCGCTTGTACAATCAAAAGCTTCGCAAAATACTCATTAGTATTATGGGCTCTATTATAAAAACCCACAAAAATGTCGTACACTTTAATACGTGCAGATTATCTCAAAACAAGTTCAAAGTCAGTTGAGAAACTAGGAGGCTACCGCTGTATACCTAAATGATTTTCGGCTACATATATTACAGTAGTGACAATAATTTCCTTCATGAAGCAACAGTCCAGAGCCCTATAAGTTCCATCTATCGCTAAGAAGTTACCGTTTCCCAGCCAACTTCCTATAGAGGTTTTTTTCACACATCAACACTTTAGAATTATTATCATAGATCATTGTATTGCTATGAGAATACGATTCTCCCCAGTCAGGGTCAGGCTCGATCCATCAATAATTATAGTAGGAAGTAACGCACACCGACCAATCGACAGATGCTTGCTCTAATACCATTGACTGCTGTCGTTGAAGTTACTGGCGCTGAGATTACCCTGTTTGCCGCTTGTGGGCCACCTTATGCGTTTTGCGCTGGTGCATGCAACAATTATCTGCCAGCAACGCTTCATTGCTCGTCGACAGATAGCTTACGTGAAACAAGAGGAGTCCGCTGCCGCTAGCAGGATCCAGCCATGGCTACAGGGCCGTCTCTATTTGGCGCTTGCAGCTTACATATCGAGCGGCAGTAATAGTATTAGAGGCAAAAGTGGTGTCGAGGCTGGCGGCCGCCTTTGCGTCATGCCTGTCCTCCTGGTGATCCTTGTCCAATCCGGGAAGAGGGCAGAACACAAAGGAACAGATTGTCATTTCGACGCAGTGTTCATACCTAAGCAGGCACGCACCACTGACGGACAACTGGATTCGCACAGAGACGCACGCAGAGAAGGCGGGGATCATACGTTCGACAAAAATAGAAGATACGCGGCCTGCTACCTGCGCGCGGGCAAGTGAGTTGAGAGCTGTTGCACAATATTGTCTTGTCAATTTCTCTATATGCCGTTAGAAGTAGGTCATCTGGCGTTATGCGAAGTTCATGTTGTCAATAACGCCGCTGCCATTCACGGCTGGCCGGTGGCTGCCAGGCTGGTAACGTCGTTACAGCGCTCTGAATTAAGCTGTTGCGCCCGTCCAGCGTTACATAACTGTACACGAGTCGTTGCAGGGGCATCTATGCTGCGAGAGCTATGGCTCGTGCTATGCACAAGCAAGATAACATGAGATATGCGGAAAAAAAAGCAAACTATTTGCTATCCAATGTCGGATAATCACCTCTGACTCACAGGGGCTATCATCACGAATCCAGTCCGTTCAGGCCCCTTGGTATGTCCTGCCGGTTGTTATCTTCATCTTTCGTTAGCTAACCGCATATTGCATAGAAAGTGAATAAAGAGGCAAGGATTTCGGCGACCAACAAGTTAACTTTCCTTGATCTTCCTTGATGCATCCTGTTTTAATATAACTATCAGTGCTGATACAAACTTAGCTGTTAAAGAACTAGTTTTCGGGTGCAGCAGACCAGTAATTTATACTCTAGCTAGAGGTCAATAACAGTATACAACTGTCTTCGTCTTCTGATAACTGCAGAATAATGGCAGAACGCCAGAGAACGTGTTAGCTGTTACCTCGCGCTCTCATGTGTGACTTACTGTAAGAAAAGGAGTTACGTACTCTGAGACCATATCATCGCGCTATCCAGGTCCCTTACCTATGCAGAAAAGTCGATTTCTAAATATACACCTCCACACGTCCCAGCCACACATATACAGACTAGTTAAAGGAGATGTTCAAAATGGTCTGATGACGAAGTGGAGTTCCACCTGGACTGCGTCATTCTAGCCAGGCGCGGGACCTGTTTAGTCGGATGCTGCCCGGTCCAATTGCTGCCGTTCCTGTACGTTTGGAGTGCATACTGGAAATACTGGCCTGCTCTGAAGGCAGAGGTGAACGCCGAGGACGGTTTCCTCTGTTTCCTGTAACAGCCAGTTTGCCATGAAAACTGGCATGGAAAGTCTCTCCAAATGAACAAAGATAGATAGGAAAGCAAAGCTTCGGCTTCAACAAAAATAATAACGGCAGCGGCATAGTGTGAGTAAAAAAACAAACTCTGCAAGCCATGCAGGCCAGTCAGTCGAAGACGCTCGTTACCGCATTGGAGAACAGCCACATATGCTGGGTAAGACGGTACCGGGTGACCAATCGAAAGAAACGTGAGGACTCAATTTCAGCCAGTTAGCTAAAGTGTTGGTAGTCGTTGTTCCTAACGGAAGTCGCAAGGCAGGGTTGTCGGTGAGATGCACAGAAACTGCAGACATATCAACTGTCGCAGTGATGAGAGCACTAGTTTGTTTCCCGCTGTTTCTCGGTCTATTTGCAGCTAATTGCTATTTGGCTACCTCACGACCGACAAATAGACCGATCGGCCACTGCTACCGCCGCATGCCTCAGGTACATGCAAAGACTCAGCTGGGTAGTCAGAACTGACCTGTTGGATACACTAGTGTTAATTTGCTACCTACACACGCGCATAGGCTTTCACAGGTTAACTGAGGGATTTCATTGATCACATTTAGCTTGCGGTCCAGCTTCCAAGTGGCCTAGTTATCCAATATATAAGGCAACATGTTCTGCTGCAGATTGGGGCACAACGAAACTGCTTCGGAAGGATGGGATGTTCAGATATATAGTCAATTCAATAAATACAGCAGTACGGTGTCAAGCATAAATTTATTTTTAGTTTGCAGTAGAAAAATGTTTAAGCTGCTGAATCAAGAACATCTTTGAGAAAATCAAACAAAATTTTTTCGCCATTCTCCACTAAAAGGTATTTTCTGATCTGTTATGCATCGCAACCCATTTGTGGGCTTTTAGTTACACGGTGGGAAATTTCGAAGCCAGTTTCACATAGACCTAGGTGTTACTTTTGCCATAGATATTTTGACCACAATTACCTTGGGATTGTTTCGAGGCATGCGGGATAAAGTGGCAGGCTGATTTGGTATTGACGTGTCCACGTGACGAGAAAAGACTTCGAATATCTAAGTAGACTGTGACGGGCTTCTTCTAGGCGCTTATGACGAATCGTGATAAAAAGAAACGTCTGAAAGAGATCAGGCATGATCGACATGTATTCCTCTATACCAGTGTGCTAATGAAGGCTAAAAATATCTATAACGAAATAATTCAATATTCATTAAATCCAATTTAAATGTTAAAAAGGATTAAGCCACCAAGGGAGGATCATCACCCGTATTCCCATATATAATAAACTTAGCTAGGGCCTAGCTATTCTGTGTCGGCAAGTAAGTTCACATAGCTTTTCATGAATTTCGCCTAATGAAAAAATCAATAAAACCGATGTTAGCTTTATTTTAGTTCAAAGAATCTTATGATATATATATATATATATATATATATATATATATTACAGAAGGAAGTGTCTTCTCTGCATATATCAACCAACTAGAGAATTCGAACAAAAAATGTTCATTAAACGTTATATATAGCTTATGCTACATTACTTTTAGCAACAACGCTGGCAGTTGTAATAGAGGCACGTAATTGCCACAGCCATGCCCGAGAGATCCCCGATCTATGTATCCGTCCACCTGCCGTTGCCCTGGTCGCTTCAGACGCCAATCTAGTTAGCTATACGAATACTACTCTGCGTACAGCCCCCGACCTCGTATTGCCATGCAGTGGCACTCGACTCGACATCATTGTCTCTTGTATCCAGCCGCTGCTATCTAACTTGGAACTAATCTGTTGAATCTTAGCTAAGTGTGCTCTGTCAGCGTCAGGCAAGCAAACCAGCGACTAATGAACGGACTTACGCCGAGAGTCAGCGCCGCCA